TCTCTCTGAAATTACCACCACAACACAAGTTCGTCCACACCCGACAATCTTGGCTCACACACATCCAACACGTCTCAACTAGACATCCTCGTAAAATCCCACATTTTATTCTATTTCATGTCATTACTAGTTTCCCCAATGTCCAATTACACCATCCTAGTCTTATGGATCAGGGGAGATTGCATCGCACGCGAAATTGGAACAAAAATTGCGAAAACGGAAAAGTTGCACTATAACCCTCCACATACGCGTATTGCCCCTCGCCATACACGTAATGGCTTGCTCGCTCGCCCACCCTACTGCGTACTACACGCGTAGGGCCCCAGATTGCCCAGGTCCATACGCGTATTGCCTAGGGCCTTACACGTATGACCAGAGAAGTCCCCCCCCCCCCCAAAGTCCATTTTCAGATCCCCTTACGCGTAATCCCCTTCCATATACATAATGCCCAATTCCCCTTACGCATACCTTACACGTATTGGTAGAGGGTCGTGTTGGCCTTGGGACAAGGTGCGTATCATACGCGTAGTGCCCTGGAGGTTCCCTGCCATATGCGTAATGCCTCACTTGTTACGCGTATGGCTAGTGCCTGCACCAAAATTCAGTTTTCTGCATTTTCTTAAGAATTTCCACCCTTTGATCCCTCATTTTAGTACCTAAATCAGATCCACAATCATATTTTCTTCAGTCTAATCCCAAAGTTCTAATTCTACTTCATGGTTTCATCATTCTTATCAACATTTTATGTGTTAAGAACCTAATTTTCGTTAATCCCATAAACCCCAAATTCCAGATCTGTTCTATATTAGAACTCAGCAACACAGAATCAATATGCATAAATTTTACTGTTCGATTTCAATATTCACAATCACGTACATGCATTCACACCAGAAATTACTTAAAACATAGATTTACAACAGCAATAACACAATCACGTAACAGATCAAGAAGACGAAAAATACACAGAATCCTAAGAGGGAAAGGACCCCTCACTACCCTCTCATGTTCAGGTCACCCTTAAAGAATCTCATTCTTCCCCTTACCCGAATATGAGTTTCAAGTCCTTCAACAATGGTGGAATCTCCCTTCTTGCCCTAGTTCTCCCTTGTTCTCTTTTCATTCTCTTTTCACGTAAACTGCTCTGATTTTGCTAACCTTTCCACTAATCCCTCTAATTATGTTTTATTAATCATCTTAATAATAATAATAATAATTATTATAATTATAATTATAATAATACTAATATTAATATTAATACAACTAACTTTACATTAATAAAATGTCTTCTTATTATATTATTATCACCATGTTCTCCTAACCTTTGATTCCGATTAAGTCCTCTTAATAAGCTCTCACACCCGCCCTACTTACTTATCCCTAATTAAATCAATAAAATCACAAACATCACACAATAAATCATACAACGACTAAATAATTAAATGGGGTGTTAAATTTAAGATTGAGGAATTAGAGATTCTGTTTGAATTTGAAGATGTCGTTTCTAAGTATGGAGACATTTTAGGAAATTTGGATTGAAGAAACTATTCTTGAGGAGAATAAGTTGCAGATTCTATGTAACAAAATTGCTGCGTTTTTGAAGCCCAAATTTAGTCTAGTTTATGGTTTTAAATATGATGGATTTAACCTAATCAAAGTCTGGAAAATACATTGTTTCTTAGTGTGTTTTAGGGTTTGTGTATTTGTGAGCCTCTCTTGTATCGTGTTGATACTAAAGCTAGTATGTTTGCATTGATTTGTATTTTTTGTCACTGTTGTGATTTAAAAGGAATTGAGAAGGATCTCATATCTAGGAGAGTATTAGGTACAAACTGAGCATGTGTAGTGATTAAGTGATAAGTTCAAAATTGGAGGTTGTTTAGCTTAGAATTAATACTATCTAGTGGATTTCATTCCTGACTTGGTAGCCCTCAGACGTAGGTGTTGTTGTACTCTGAACTGGGTTAACAATTATTGTGTGTTCGTTTACTTTCTGCAATTTTTATTGTGCTTCTTCTTGTCGTTGTGTTTAAAGCAGAGATCAAGTGTCTCGACATGTCTTAGGACATCTATGATCTGCATACCAGAATTTTAAGGAGTTTTTGAGGGGGGTTTACATTTAGGTTATTCCTTATATATCTTTTACCTGTTTGACATATTCAGTCAGCCAACCATTCTAAATTAGCCATTCGATGATATCCTTCAGCTGGATGTAATCATTAATGTTGTAATTGTGATTCTTATGGAAACGATCGTTCATAGATTTCTCAGTAAGAGATGTTTCCCTGAAATGGTAAGGATGTCAGACTCCTCCCTTCCAAAACTCGGTGTTGGCGCAGTCCTGATAAATCTTTTTACGAGACATAGTTAGTTGCGTGTACTTGGAATACTGCCCTTGTATACCCCGATCGAGTTCATCTTGGCGCCGGTGGAACTCCTTCCTGGTTGGGCAACTATAGTGGGTTTCGACTAATGCGTGATTCTCAAAACGTGTGTTCAGCTTCTCCTCCAAAAGAATGTAAGACTGAGTCATGGTAAGCATCTCTTTGATACTCTTCTCCTTCTTCCTCCCTATCTTTAAAATAAAGGGATGTTTTCTTAGGAGATCATTCTCAAAGATCCAATATTGAATACCCATTTTAGGCCTTTTAAATTCGAAATAAACTAGCATGAATCGGTCTATGTAAGAGTACAAGTTTTCCTTCTTTTCTTGAACAATCCCACCTATAGAGACTTGAGTTAGTGGTTGTCTCTTATTGGCTGTGAAGTGTTCAGAGAACCGCTCACAGAATTTTGTCCAAGATACAATGCTCTCAGTCGGTAAGCTGTTGGACAACAACCTAATCAGTTCGATCAGAGTTAATGCAAATAGCTTGCATTTAGATGCGTCATCAGCACTAAATTAATTCAATTGATCGTTGATTGCACATGCTTGTCTGGATATCCTTTTCCATCATATTCACCAAGCTTGGGCAACTTCTCCATGAATTTCGGTATCCTACTTTCTAAAATCCTTATAGATAGTGGATGTTTCTTATGAACTTTTCCCCATTGATTCTCTGCTTGAGTCGAGGAAGGAGTATGACTACCTCGGTCTCCTTCGAGACTTTTGGTAGGAGTATGTTATTTTTTACTCCTATGTTGATCTCTTAATTTATGAGCTTTATTTTTCTTCGCCCCGGTCGGCTTCGGGCAACATTATGAGTCCTTGATGTAACCTCTTGGACAATGTTTCCGCGAGGGGAGAATTTTAAAGGCTTTCTTTAAAGTGTTGTAGTCTTTCTTCAAATTCGCGTGAATTTTATTGTTGAACGATGTTATAAACACTGAGATTTGCTTGTTAACACTTGAAGGTCAAGTAAGGCTTTTGGTTGCAATACTAAAGGTGGAACAGGAGGTTCAACCGGAGTAAATTGAACATATCTAGCCATCTCTGAAGCCTGGACTAGATATGGATGTAATGGAACCGATGTTCTAGGATTTGCGATGCCTTGCTGAGTAGGTAGAGGTGGTTGATTTATTATTGCTAGAGCAGCAACGACAACTTTTATTGCGTTGGTAGATCAAGTATCTTTGGATCCAGCTATCACTTACAGTCATGAGAACTTGAGATATGGATATTCGAGGAATCGAGATTGAGATGATGCTTGACTAGATTCAATGTGTTGGATCTTTGTCCTCGATTCAATATGCTCTTGATTCGGTGACACGAGGAGGTTACGAATTGATGAATCAGATATCGAGCGTGTGAAATTGTTGAAAGCATAAGAATCAGAAGTTGATTACCACAAACGGTTCTGTCGTTCCTTTTTAGAATCCTAAATCGATTGAGAAGTGGTGGTGACGGCGAATCAAAGCTTCAGACGATGTAGAGAGGGGGCTGACCTGTAACGTTAACACTTCAACACTCAAGTTAATATGTAAGGGAAAAGAGTGAAGCGAAATTGAATTTGAAACTTGTTACCTGAATTTAATGCCTTATCTATATATAGTAGAAAGGGAATAACAAACTCATTATTGTTAAGAGTGAATTCTGGAGAGTCGTTGGATGCAGTTGTAGTTGAGATCCTTTGATCATTAAGGTGATAGTTTTCGTGTGCTAAGGAGTGTGCTTACTTCATGGTGATCGGCTAGGGTCTATATGGTTAGACACCAAAACCAAATTGACAAGGCAAAAAACATCGAGACCTCCTAGTTTCTTAGGTTTGCTCACATCCACTCATTTGACCCAGACTATCTTAGCGTCCCTTTTTAGCATCCCCAAAGAAACCTAGGTCGACCACACTTTCATTTATTTTGTTTTTCTTTCTCCATTATAAAAATCCAAATTAGAGCAGGGTGTACTCATCTAAACATTATTGAGAAAGGATCACAAGATGGAATAGTTGCAAAAGAGCTAGTGTTCTAAACCAGTTGTTGATAGAAGTTGTTCCAAATTATACTGTGAATGATATTGTGGTCTGGATTAATGCTGGTGAAAATTGCTATGTGAAAATCATGCAGGGTATAAAGGATAATCAGGTGGAAGAAATATTGAAGAATGCATTAAAGTTGATGGGGGAAACTAAAGTCCAGTAAAAGTTTTTTGTTGGCGCCTCTTCCAAGACAAACTTCCAACAAAATATTTCATATTTCTTGGTTTTTACTTGGTATAGATTTTAGTCTCAATCAAATATGTAAATTTTATGATTGGCACAAAAATTATTTGTTGTTTTTGGGTTTGCTTATTAAAAAAACATTCAATTCAAATCAAATTAAGCGCCACATAGAGTCCAATATTAATATTCATAGCCACATAAAGTTATTACAAATCAATACTCATCCACTATTACAAGATCATCTATCTAGCTCTAGCTTGACATAGGCGCAGTACACAATTATTTATGTTACACATGTAGAGTTAGTACGTAGTAGTTACCCTATGTCTGTATCCAAAAGTACACTACATAGTCCGTACATGTACATATACGTGTACAAATACATAATACATGTATGTAGCTAATTTAAACAAGCTGAGCCTGTGGCCAAGAGTCAATTCCTATAGGAGCATCTAAGGCTACTATTCCTCTACTGTTAATAAAGGGTGTTGAAGTAAATTCATCATCTGTAGCAGCAGCTCCTGAGAATGCAATCAGTTCAGCATCCATCTCAACAGGCAATGAAAGGTTTTCAAAATCATTACTATTATTGTTGTCAATATTCCATCTCAGATTAATAGCTTCCTCTATTGATTGTGGTTGGTATTGTTCATAGAACATAGCCTCAGTTTTTGGAATGGCTTGTGACTTGAAGAGTAATTCCAAAGATGGACTATTATTATTATTATTATTATTTCTGGTGTTTGTGATTTGGTGGAATGATGGTTGAAATGCATGTAATGGAAAATTATGAGTGTGTGTAAATGATGGTGGATGAAGAGTAGGAGGAGGGGGTAAACAGCTTTTTGGGGGGGTTGAATTAGAATTATTATGAACACCTAAATGTCCTTGAACTTGAAGTAATACAGAACTTCTTTTTTCCACTGATTTATGAAATATCCTGCATATCACCCACTCTTCCTGTCAAAAATTAATTTTCCAAAGTTAAAAACCAAAAACATTGTCAATCACATCAAATATAGTAGAAATGATAGGAAATGACTTGATGTTGTTTCTGTATAGGCAAATGAGTCAACCCAAAAATAGACAAAAAAAAAAAAAAAAAAGAGCAGAGAGAGAGAGAGAACTTGTTAAACACGACACATTCACGTGTATTTGTCATAGATTAGAGTTATAGGGTTATAGGTAAAGTAGGTTAACGTATGTTACGTACCTTGCAAGTTGAAGGTGAAAAATGAGTGTTCAAGCGATACTCATGCATGACCCATTTGGTCTTTTCACCTCGAGGGGCCCTTCCTTTGTAGAAAACAAGAGTCTTCTTCATGCCAAGTAATGCCCTAGTGCTGTTGTTACTGTAAACTTCTTTGTCTTTCCCAGTCGCTTTCCAGTAACCAGCACCAGTTGCTCTATTTGTTCTAAGACCAGTTGGGTATTTTCTGTCTCGCAAACTGAACAGATACCACTCTCTTTCTCCCATCTTTGCCATATCTATACACACAACGCGTAGAACACGGACTCAGACACAGACACCGAGACTCAGACAAACACACTGAGTAATAACTATAAAAAATGTGTATATATATATACCTGGAAGTTCCCATGGCTCACATCTGTTGAGATCAACTTCAGCAAACTTGACATTATTGAAAAAAGTGTTTTTGAAAACTTTGGAAGCTAAATAAAAGGTAATGAGTTCTTCATCAGTAGGGTGAAACCGGAAACCAGGAGGAAGACCTTGGTCGTTTTTCTTTTCATGATCACTAAGTTCACACAGTACTTCTTCCATTGCTAACATCATAATGACTTAATTCCTTAACAAAATTCTGTGTATATATTTGTGAAACTGAAAACGAGGAAGAGGGAGAGGAGAGTAGATGATGAATGAATGAACGTAAAAGGTGAGGTGAAAGAGGTATAAGTAGAGACCTGAACATGAGGGGCCTACATATCAGAAAGTAGAAACCGACCTCATTAACGTTAACAAGATAAAATTCAATTTTAAAATTATCTTCAAGTCCAAAAAAATATATGAAATCTAAATAGTTATTTGACAGCGTCCATGTTAATTATGACTGTATAATTACATCAGCTATTTTTTGTCTGGTTTGTTTATTGGTTAGTAATTTATGATCCTGTTTTGGTGTGTGGTTGTGACTTTAATTTTGTGTGCAAAAGTGGCATGCACTGCAAAAGTAAGATTGAATTGCCTTTAAATACAAGGGTACAGTTAATTTATGAGTGTTAAGAAAACCATACAGTGGAGGATTGTTTACTTTTTAAAATAAACAGTACTGTCGGACAAATACATTTTTTGTGGTGAAAGAAAAACAAAAGATTATATATTACTTTTAATGTATTTTATAATAGAAAATTCTATGGTAAACTTGTTAAAATGACTTTTTTGGAAAAGTCATAATTCCGATGGATTAGGATTATGCCTTAATTCATTCAATTACTAAGTAGGATTATATCATGCATTTAAACTTTTATTGCAATTAAGTCTCTAATATTTTTACTTTTTTGAAAATTAAAATTAATAAAACAATTTTTTTGGTACTTTATAAATTTTATTTTTTTCTCAACTAATTTCATCTTCTTTATCCGATCAACAACAACTTCATCTTCTTTATCACAACCTGTAAAACTAAGTACATACATCTTTTAGTACTATACCTACATTAAACTTCTTCTTCCACCGCAATTGTAAAACGTGTTTCATCTTATTCTTTCACAATTATAAAAACGAGTTTTTTTTTAATATTGTTCAACGAGTGAACTTCAATATTCTCTCATATAATCGTTTCTCACATAATATGTATTGATGGTAGATTTGCTAAGTATTTGGATTTTAATATTTAATTATTTCAATTTCTTATATGATTTTAATTTGGAAATTAGGTTTTATGATCGATGTTGTAATCAGTAATTAGATTTCAAATTTAAGAACTCTGATTTTCAATTTGTTAGTTATTCATTACTTTGGATAAAATTTATTTCAATTTGGAAATTAGATTTTATGATTGATATTGTAATCAGAAATTAGATTTCAAATTTAAGGAATCTGATTTTCAATTTGTCAGTTGTTCATTACTTAAGATAAAGTTTATTTCAATTTGGTAATTAGGTTTTATGGATGATGTAATTGCCTTTATCTGGATTTGTTAGTTACTTAATATGTTCGTTAAGAATTCATTTCAATTTGAGAATTAAGTTTTATGATTGATGTTGACTTACATTGTGTTATATATCGGTCAATTTCAGATTGACAATTCCGGCGATTCTGTTGGGGTTGATTTGAACAATGTTCTTTATACTGATTCATCTAATGCTGAATATATGTGTGATGAAGATGTTAATGATGTTGTATCTAGTAGACATCAAACTTCAAACGATGAAGATGATTCTGATAATGACGATGATGAGTAATCGGTTGGAGCATAGTGCTCAAATAGCCAAGCAGTTATAGGTGATAAATTGGTGAGTATTGATTCCATTAATTTAGATTAAATTCATTTTATGGAGTTTGGTACTATGAGTGAAGCTTATGACTTTTATTATAGGTATGGAAAATGTAAAGGTTTTGCCATTAGAAAAAATGATGTTAGACGAAGAGGACCCGAAGGTAGTGAAATAGTAGTAATGAGACAGTATGTATGCAACAAACATGGATTAAGAGACAAGAAGCACAAACATGGTAAAATTAAAACAATAAAGTTCATATTAATCGTTAAGCATAACCCATGATTGCAGTGGCGGAGCCAGAAAGTTTTTGAAGCCTGGGCAAAAATTTAAAGACAATAAATTCATATTGTATATATAAATAGTTATTAATCAAAATAAAAGATTTTTAATTTAATTGATTTCGGCAGAATTTTAAAACTAACATAGCCATATTCAATTTGAGGCTGATACTAACATGGAATATCATTTCATGTGATTCATAATAATTCTTGAAATTAGCAACATGTTAACAACATAATTTTATTTACTAACTACTGTAACTACAAACTAAATTTAAAAACAAATTCCTAGTTAACATCAATTGAACCATATAATTTAGAGTGAACATAAATTGAAGAATAAGACCTAATATATTTTTTATATTATTTGAGGATAAAATTTATTCTTTTCTTCTTCTTTTTTACAACACTATACATGTTTTTTTTAATAATTTTAGTAGTTGCTACTTTTATGTTAAATTTTATTTTTTCAAGTATTCATTTTTTGTTTTTGGTTAATTTGGTCATAAATAGCAACTTTATTTTAATTTTACACTTTTTGTAATGTAATTGAATCTAAATATTATCATATAAAAAAATTAATATAATGTATGCTTAATTGCATAAAAAAAGGAAGAAAAAATTATGTTTTATTTGTGAAAAATATTTAAATTACGGCGGTTAAAACTGCCATTATCAACGATAAAAACCCGCCTTTTCATTTAACATATATTATGACATGAGAAATTTTATTCAAAAGTATTATTTTTCTGCATTTTCATTAATTGTGGCGGTTTTAACCGCCATAATAGCACTTATTAACCGCCACAATTTTCATATTCTTTTATAAAAGAAGGCAAAATTTTGGGGCCGAGCCCGGGCACATGCCCAGCCTGGCCGGGCCTTAAAACCTCCCATGCATGATTGTATTAAGAGTTTACATAAATCAAGCAAACAAATATGCACATGACAATAATCAAAGTTAAAAGCACCAAATTCTTAAACAACCAAAATAAAAAATATTAAAAAAATAATTACAACAATGACAACTGAAATGAATTTGAGAAACCTAAGAAGGTTGTTTACAGTAATGACTTCCTTATAGCAACTGTGGAGATCTCTCTTGATAGATTCAAAGGTGGTATGTTGAACATTGGTCACAACTTTCAACAATGTTTGAAATAATAGTCAAAACATTTGTTGGATATTCCCGTACCCAGAAGTCGCAAAAATTATCCATACATGTGTAGTAAAGTTTGTTAGGATTTTTCTCAGATCTTGAAATCTTGAGATCTACAACCCTTTTAGTAAAACATTGTAACTTCATGTATTGCAGTTGGCTTGGGCTTGTTATTTTAGGACAATATTTTTGTTGAAGTTTTTTTAGATGAAAGATGATGGAGTACTTTTTATTTAAATCGTAAGAGAAATGAATGAATGAAAGATGATATTAATTGTAGTTTTTTATAGACTCAATTTCAGCTCTTGCAGTCAAATTTTTCTTGGGTTTAATGGTGATGCACTGACAGTGTAAAAAAGTTTTACACTGTCATCCAATAGGAATATATCAGTTTGACATGTCATACAACTTAGGACTAACTGCATGTTATGTCAGGTGAGCCTAACGATATTCGTATGACTTCTATCCTGGTTGTGGAAACAGACAATTTTGTAGGACCCTTCTAGGAAGTCATCAGAAAGTGAGGCTAGGATGGCAGAATGGGTGTCTTTAGGAGTCGGAATCAGGAATTTTTATATTCTTATTGCATTTTAGGACTAAGTACATGTTGTGCAAGGTGGTCTGACATTATCCAGATTACTTCTATCATGGTGATGGAAACAGTTGATTTATAGGATTCGGAATCGGGAAATTTTTTATTCTTATTACAACTTAGAACTAACTGCATGTTGTGTCAGGTGGACTTGGCGATATCTGGATTACTTCTATCCCGGTGATGGAAACAGTCAGTTTTATTGGACCATTCCTAAAGGAAATCATCAGAAAGTGAGGCCAAGAGGACCAAAGGGGTACCTTAGGGAGTCAAAATTGAGAAATTTTTTATTCTTATTGTAACTTAGGACTAACTACATGTTGTGCCAGTTGGGACTGACAGTAGCTAAATTACTTCTATCCCGGTGGTGGAAATAATCGGTTTTATAGGACCCTTCATAAAGGAAGTCATCGGGAAGTGAGGCCTAGAGGGCATAAGGGGTACCTCCGAGAGTTGGAATCGAGAAATTTCTGATTCTTATTGTAACTTAGGACTAACTGCATGTTGTGCCAGGTGGGTCTGATGGTATCCAAATTACTTCTACCCTGGTGGTGGAAAATAGTCCGTTTAAAAATATGGAAAGATAAAACATAAAACTTGTGAATATTATGAAATTGGATAGCCTCCACTTGGAAAGATACAGATACCAATACGGTGAATAGTAAAATATTCTAAAACAGAAATACTATTTTGAATATCGATTGAAGATAGTCTTATTTTGAAATATAAAAAATGATATTCTTACACCAAATGTTTACAGTACACTGTATTTCATTGTTCACCAATACGGTGAATAAGGAAATATTCTAAAATAGAAATACTATCTTCAATACCGTATTGTTGTTTTTTTATTAAAAAAAACATAACAATTATTTGGATGAAGTCGATGATGTTGTGGACGGAAATAAACACAAATAGCTCATTCAGAAATGGAACATCAGAAGATAAAGCAATAAAGAGAAATCATTGTGGTGGATTCCTAAGATGGTTCTCGGTTAATGTTAAAAGAGGTAATGTCTTAAAAATTGAGCTCATCTCCATTATGATAGCAATAGAAAAAATACACCTTAAAGTTATGAATAATATTTAGATAGAGAGTGACTCCCAATAATCCATTTAATGCCTTGTCAAAGAGGCACTAATCTCATGGGACCTTAAAAACAAATTGGTTTAAATGCAAAAGCCTTTTGATTTTCACACACACACACACAATATATATATATATATATATATATATATATATATATATATATATATATATATATATATATATATATATATATATATATATATATATATATATATAT